TCTGCCCAGCCTGATGGCATGCGGACCAGGAGCTGCATGCCATTGGGCCTGTCTGGCTCTGTATCTCAACGTGTGTCCCTGCTGGAGTGCTGGAATTCCCATGTAGAGGCATGGAGCTAGCCTGGCCGGATGGCATGAGGCTCTAGCTGAGTCCTGGAAGCTGCACCTGGAGGTATGAAGCCAGCCTGGTCTGGCCCGAAGGTGCATGCCAGTTGGCCAGGCGGAGTGGGCTCCATGCTGCCACACACAGCTCTTGGGTCTCAGCTGGAGCTGTGTGCTGTTGGGGGTCTCTGCTTGCTGCAGGCGAAGACTGCCCCTAGGGTCAGCCACCAGCTGCTGCCACCAGTGGCTGGGGCTGTACGCCATGTGGGGGGATTGTGGGGGGGCACACTCATGGACGCACCCACCCATACAGACACCCACATCCCCCCCACACATCTACCCCACCTCCACCCCTCCTACCACACCCAGCACACCTTGCCACACATAATATAAGCCTTTATTTTGAACTATTATGCAATAACCTCTATATAAACTATGCAAACACACACAAATCAGGACAAATTTTTTTTTAAAAGAAAATTAAAATGTTATGGTAGATATTTGACTTTTAGTATATAAATTGTTTTTTTTCTGGTTCCGAGATGATACCCCCCTCTAAAAGGAGTACTTATTGGGGCAAGGCTGGTGGTGGGGAACTTTTGGTAGCGAAGGTTAGGAGTTAGGAGTGGGACTTCTGATCCCAGAGTGGGGCACCTGTCAAGTCTTACTCTTGGGTATAGAGGGGGAGTTTATGGGGGGTGGGTATATGTGGAGGTGTATGTGGGGAGGGGAGCTATCCATACACTAGGTCCTGGAAGCTGGCCAAGGATAGGGGGAGAGAGGGCTGATCAGTACCAAGGGGGCTGCAGCCACATCGGGAGCAGCTGCACCAGGAAGCTGTGCGCACTGGCCTGGGCTGTTGGAGGGTGCAGGTGGGAACGCAGCACTGGCTGCCCCGAGCTGGAATAGACGGGGTTTAGCCCAAGGCAATGTACCTGAGAGCTGGATACAATCAACTGGCAGGTGCCCACCAGCAGGCCAGATCCAATCAGTTGGTGTGCCAGATCCTGCCTGTAGACCTTAGTTTTCCCACTTCTGCTCTAAATGCACCTCAACCATTCAGGAGCCCAGGAAGTCCTAATCCAGAGGATGTTATCAGATGTAATGTCCACATATTTCTATTCAGCATGGATTTGTTCAAGTGCTTCCTGAAGTATATTGTATCACACAAATGACCCTACATGAACACAAAGTGAAACAAGATGGTTTCAGAAGGCTGAAAACTTACATCTTATAATCACTGATCATAGACACAAATGTGCAAATTTGAGAAGAAAAACTAAACACAGAGATTAAAATTATACAGTCCTAGCTGAACTCCTGTATTCAGCTTTGCTAATACCTTGAGAGCCAAAATAGGCAGAATTTCAAGAGCAATCTGGGAAGGGCAGAGGCTGACCATTTTCCAGCATGAAAATATTTCAGCTCTGTATCGATATGTTCGGAGCTCTGAAAAGTTACCCCCTACATTTGGAACCTTTCCAAAATGAGGTCACTGCCTCATTCTAGCAGCATTAGTTGTAAACCTTGCCAAGTATCCTTGATTTGGTTTTAAATTGTAAGTTAGCATTTCCCTCCAGGGGTAAAGGATTTAAAGTCTCACTCCTAACTTTAAAAACCCTCAGTTATTTAAAATGTCACAGGGTTTTTTCCCAAAAGTATAAACTTTTTAAAAAAATATTTAATTTCAATTTTCTTCTGACTCAGCTGCCTACATGTACTAGTTCTTATGACAGAACAGTCAAATTTAGTTAAATATATTCTGTATGAGCTAATTTGACTTTTTCCTGGATTTAAAAATAATCTAGGTCAATTTTCACAGTAATTTAGCTGTCATAGATACCTCTCTACGTATCATGGTATCCCAAATGATACAAGTCTACAATCTATATTTAGACATTAAACAGTAACTGTACATAATTTAGTCATGCACATAGAGTGTGGATACACATAACAATTGAAGCACTCCAACAACTTCACTGAGTGGGAACCAGTTCACATTTTGTTGGGCTTTAGAGATGTCTACATGTACACCTCCCTACATACACCTTTGAGGCATTGCAGTGCTGTCTAACCACCAACCTGAGGGGCTCAGTGGGAGGCCTCAATCCAACAAACCTCACACAATGGAATGGCTCCTTTCCCCAGGATTTCCCTAGCTGGGTAGGAAGACCCCAATTGGCTGGAGGCATGGAGGGCTCCTGGACCAGTTTCAATGTTCCCAGGGGGCTGAGTCTTCTGGGGATTGCCCAAGGGCTTGGGCTGGCCTTGGGCTGCAGTTTTAAAATGACTTGTCCTAGAAAGCCACTGAATTAATTTCAGTTAACCCCCACTCCCTCTTCTGTGAGGTTGATAGGTGGGTGAGTACACCCTTAATCAATGAGTGAGGAAAAACTGAGTCACTATTTTTAATACCATGAATGGCTGTCAACTTCATGCTTGGTCAATGCTGTTAGGTCGATTAATTGTTAATCAAACCAGTTGAAAATAATATTGGATTATTCAGGTATATTTTTGAAATATTCCAGGAGTTTTAAACTGTTTTAACCTGGACACGTCTACACGGGCACCTGACTGTGCAATTGCTATTGCACAGTCATTTAGTACTGGTTGTAGCCTCATTGGCCTATGGGTCATTTCCAACCCTACTGCGCAGTAGCAACGAGCTACTGTGCAGTAGCACTGGTATCACGGTTTGTGCCTGCCAACGCTACATCAATGTAGTTATGAGCTACATTGCTGTAGCTCATTGCCATGGCAATGTAGCATCTTGTGTAGACGTGCCCACTGGCTTGTACATCTAGATGCTTGCATTTCTAACCTGATCTAAAATGGTCAGTGCTGTGTGTCCACACCCATAGATGCAAAGACACAAATGTCATTATAGAGAACTTTAAATGTAATTACAGCAGACATTTAAAAAAAGAATACTTAGCCCCAATTCAGTAGGATAAAGTGCAGCAGATAGACCCCTGCATCTGTGTGAAACCTCATTTATTTTTGTACTGATGCCAACTTTAACCTATAGAGCCTTAACTGGTGTGGACTTGTATATCTAAGCAAGTGCGTTTTCCTGTATGCCCCCACATGATGGTGCAGCAGCGAACAATATATCACCAGTATGCCAAGTTTGCTCAACAAAACTGCATGGGAGGTCATTCTCTGCAGTTGCTCCTCAGCTCTGGAACTCCCTCCCACTTGAGGGTTATCAGCAGAAATCCTTCTGGACCCATAGGGTGTGCTGGAAGTGTGGGATCCCACGGGACTGGGTGTGTCAGCAAAAACTTCTGGGTGGCAGGGCAGGAGCAGGCCAGCCATCAGACCCTTGCACAGGCAACAGCAAATGTGATACCCCCGTCCTGTAAATAGTTGTGTATAAGTTTCTGCATGTAATAGAGTTGTTCCACATTACAAGCCTTTAAATACTACAGCCAGAGCCTGAGCCTGGAAATCTTTTGGAAGAGTTGTGAGATCTTCCTGTTTGGGCAGGCATGGACTAAACTAAATTAGGAGCAACATCTCATCCTAATTTAGTTTGGCCCATGCCTGCCCAAACAGGAAGATCTTACAGCTCTTCAAAAAGATGTCCGGGCTCAGGCTCTGGCTGTAGTATCTAAAGGCTTGTAATGTGGAACAACTCTATTACACACAGAAACTTATACACAACTATTTGCATGACGGGTATGTTCTAGTTCCCCTTTTTAACTGCTCCGATCCCTTTATCGATCTTCCATTTTTAAGATGTTATTTTTTCACTCCAGAACCTTTGTTTGAAAGGGCAGCATATAAATTGAATAAATCAATCACTACTTTTCCCCTTTCCAACCCACGGATATGTCTCTGAAGAATGACGAGCCCATTTATTCATATTAGATGTTATAAAAACATTTATGAGGGTTGAGTCAAGCTATGACCAGGCCTGGCTTTTATCAGATGAGCAGGGCAGGTGGTTATCTAAGACAGAAGATTACTGTGGGGTGGGGGGAGTCTTGCATGACTGCTTTTTGGAAGTGGCCGCACATATTTCATTTTACAAATGTTTGGACATGCTTCATTTTACGATAGTAAACACCTCAAGCCAGAGCTTGGCTCGACTCATTGTGCCAGGACGATTTCAAAAACTCAGCAGCGAATAATTGGAAAGTCCACACCAAAAAAAAAAAAAAAAAAGCAATCCTTTATCCTCACAAAAGGGAGCGACTCTAAAATGGCGTTCATATTAATAAACCGCAAAAGAGCGGGTGCTTAAAAAACAAAGGGGGAAGAGGAGAATGGAGGCGCCCGAGGATTGCTTTTGTTCATTTAAGCAGAGTTGGCCCCTCACGGCAGCACCTCAAGGGTCACTTCCACCCGCTCCCGCCTCCGATTTCTGTTGTTTTGTATTTGGGGAAGCAAGGGTGGTTATAAGCCCAGCCCTCCACCAAGTTTGAGCCCCGCAGGGGGTTGCGGCACCGCCTCGCAGCAGTGACAGGACCCAAGCGGGGGGGGCGGCCGGGAGCGCAACAGCCCGCCCAGCCACCAACGGCCGCGCGCGCAATCTGAATGAAGGCGCCTGCCCCGCAGTTTGAAATGAACCCCGCCCGGCGCTCCCCATTGGCCCGCCTCCGCCGCCACGTGATGCGAGTTCCACCACTCCGCGCGCGGCGCGCGTCTTTTCGAACAAGGAACCTCCCGCCGCTGTTGCTGCGCCGCGTATCCTTCCGCGGGACTCGCCTGCCGGGGCTCGGCGGGGCTTCGCGCGGAGGCCACCCTCAGACCCGCCGTGGCCCGCGGGCGACAGGGCGCCTCCGCCGTCCCCCGTTCCCCTGCGGTGGCGGCGGCGCCCGCGGCTTGTTCACTGGAGGGGGGCCGTAGTGGAAGGCCGTGGCCGGCGGAGGGA